GAAGTCAAGCAGCTTCTCCCACGACCACATCCTCCCCACCCCACCCCCACATTAGCAAAACCGTAGAAAGGGAAGAGATAAGGACACAAGTGGACGCCCCCTCAACATGGATACCAAGAAAAGCTGCGACTCCTTACAGCCATGGCTCGTCACTGACTCCTCGCCCGAATTTTCTAGCTCTGTACAAGTAACACAGCCTGGCCTGTAACTGCCTCCAAGTATGCTAAGACCTGCTCCCCTTCCCCGCCTTTACAATCTCTAAAAGAGAGGAAGAGACAATTCTCAAAGTGCACTTACAACCTCTCCCTAGGAGTTAAATGAACCCCTCCGGAATCACCAGGGTCCTTGAGATGCCTGTGAACCCCGACGCCCCTCCTTCCCCGCCCACCACTCCTGCTCCCATCCCCACCACCAGGGCCTGGGCCATGGGGTGGCCTCCTGGCCGGTCTCCTGCCTGGGGGTTCCCACTCTCCATGCCACCCGCACTTCACCACCCGACCGTTCCTGACACCCATCTACCCAGTCACTCCTTAGGCACAGGGAGGTCTATGGCCTGTGATAGCCTTTGTGAATTTTTTTTCTCTTAAGACATCAAACAGCCAAAGCTGCCCAATGGACGTTGAAGAGGGAGCCACAGCCTCCTTTCCAGCCCCACCGCCCACAGCTCCCCTGCCCTTGGCTTCCACACCCCCCACCCGCCCCGTGTCCTCCGCGTACGCTTTCACTCAGGGTGTTTCCTCACTGACCTGTCTTCCCCTCCTCCCGGTTCGTCCCTCCCTCCTACGTGAGCTCCCATCCTCCCTGCAGGACGGGCCTCCCCCAGGACGGGAGGTCAGAACCGTGCTCCCGCCATCCAGTGTCCCCAGCATTGCATGGGCCACTACAGTGGACGGGGCCGTGTTACCTGTGTGGCACCCAACCTCCCTTCCGAACAGCACCCTGACCCCCCTGGTGGAAGAAGCGCTTGTCACCCACGGGAAGATGGGGGAACAGCGCCTCTCTCCCCCAGCACAGCCATCCAGAGAGCAGGTACTGACACCGTCTCCCTCCCGGACTTTGAATCCTGGTGTGTCACCAGATCTGGCGTGGCCCAGCCCTCCAGAGGTTCTTGGGTGCCAGTCTGTTTTCTGTCCTTGCTCCTCTAACCCCGACCCTCACTCCCTCAGTTCTGTGGGCCTATGACAGCCTTTCGAAATGTGTATATACATATTTGGATTAGATACCCTGACTCCGTTCCCGTTGCCTACAATCGGGCCCCCGAGGGCCGTGATGATGCAGCATTTGCTCCTGAGCCCACGGAGCCTGATCGTGTACTCTTCTGTGTGTGCCGGTCTCACCTCCCCATCTGCATTGGGAGTTCCCTGAGGGTAGAAACCGTGCGTTTCTTTACTCTCCCATCAGCCTCAATCCAAAAAGCCTCTGCATATCGATCAATTTATGGAGCGGGCATGCCGACAACTTACAGCTAGGAAGCAGCGATGTGCGCGTCCACAAGTGTTTCAATGCAAAGATCGGTACGAATTCCAAGGGAAGGCCAAAAGAGGAAACTTACTTTCTTATCTCCAAGGGAAAAAATTAACCAATGATTATCTATTTATGGAGAAAACTATTATACCAGTTTGTCTCACTAGCTAAATGCAGAGATGTGAAAGACGAGGCAACGCCCGGTGCCTACGCGTGGTAGCTGCTCAATGTTTTACTGCGCTTAGTGAAAGACGTGCCTTGCCCAAGAAGTTCAGAAGAAACTCATTGGATCAGCTCCATCCAAAATATCTTCCAGAAAGCTCCCCCTGACAACAAAACTAGTTGCTAAGCAAGAAATAACTCAGAACCAGAATCTCAGAGACAAAACTTTGTGCTAGGAAACTGACCGAAGCCATTTTACAAAACTCAACATACTTGTCCTGAATGGTATGTTCTCAGGCTGTCCTTCTGTGCCATCTGCTGCTTGAGAATAAACAACGGCCTCGTACTGAGCGCCAGGCTTTAGCCCAGCAAGCAGGACGCGCGTGTCTCGGGACTGCCGGCCAGAGGACGGGTCCGCCTGCCCGAGGAGGCTCTCGTTGCGCACAGGGGCGCCGGGGCTGCTGCACGGCTGGGGCCAGCTCTCTGCCAGGCCCCGCTCTGTGCCGTTGGCATCTGTTTCAAGCACAAGAGGCAAAGACATTAGCCACAGGAGGAACACATCCCCCATCTTCTTTTAGCGCCCGCATCCCATACGATGACACATCAGACAGTGCCCACAGTTGGTACTCCATAAATATCCGTTCCCTTCTTCCTCCAGAGACAGATACACCCCCTGAAGAGGCCCTGCTAGTTCGTTTTGGATTGTTATTCCAGTAGCACCACAGATACTTGGTGCTTCTCTTTCAAACTCTGCTATTTGGATCATTCTCCCTTCGTTGGGACATTATCTTCTCCCGTCCCAGTGTGGCTTTCCAGGGACAGCTCCGTGATCCAGACTTTGCTAATCGGAGCCCACTCAAGCAATGTTTCCCCTGGACCAGACCTCAGCTGGGAGGGGGCTGCAGGGTGTGAACGGGGGAGCAGCTGGGGACCACTCCTCCTTGAGCTCTGCAGAAGGAAACACTGCGAGAGAGAAGCTGATCAACAGGAAGCAGCCAGAGGAAGAGATGACAACCGCCCCGTCTATCTCTTTAGGGCCTCGCTGCAGCAGGGAAATACACATTGAGCCAACACATTGCTCTTGTCTTCTAAGCTATTTAAGGTCTGGTTTCTGTCACTTGCAGGCAGGAATCCTAATAGCCACTTTGTAGCTCTGTTTCCTTAGGTGTAAAATGAGGATTAAGTGCCCGTCCTTCTCAGCTTACAGGTTACAGCAGGGATCCATTGAAAATGTCGTAAAATCTGCAAATGACTATTCCAAAATCAGTGCAGAAGATGGCTGCCAGATCTGCCTGCCAAGCATCCCTTTCCTCAATGGATGTGATAAGCTCCTCCAAAGGCCCAACCTGGGTTAACACACCTGCTATTTGTTCAACTGAAACATAAAAAGCTAAAAGGGCATCTACTTTCCCGGATGCCAGATTCCAAAATGTTTCCGTCCCCACTGCCATTCTAAGTCCCAGTGTGTTCACCTGCAAAATAAGAACAGTCTTCCTTCCCTCCTCTTGCAGGTGTAGGATCAAACTAGATGTGGAGAAAAAGCCCTCTATACATTCTAAAACTCTAGACAGATCTAAGAATGATAGTTTTAAAAACCATTAATTTCTTGAAAGTCAAGACCAGCAGGGGAGATGGGAGGCACACTTCTGCAACTCACCCAAGCCGCTTTTTGTAGGCAGGCCGTGTCTCTGTGTCTCGTTTGATTCTGGAAGATACAGGGTGATGTTGTACTGACCCCCTGGCTTCAGGCATGAAATATTGACTGCTAAGTGTTGAGCCGACTCCTCGCGGCCTTTAAGAAGCATCCGGCAGGAGGCGGTGCCATTGTCATTGCTCCAGGAAAGGGCGACCTTCCTCGTACCAACGAAGGCAACATGAAGACCGGAAACTGGACTAGGTTCTGTTTTAAAGACATACAATGGGCGTTAACGGACAGGATATTTGTAGTCACCTTTCATTAGGAATAACTGGAGTCACCGATGTCTCGACATGACCCACTCGAAATACTTCCTTTACGCAACACATCTCCGTCATTCCACAGTGGGGGAAAACATCACAATGCAGAAAAGGGGAAGGAATAAACCTTGAAACCGAAATTGTTTAGGATCTATGCTATTCTACAAGATCAACCCCAGCAGTGATTTGAAATTCTCCTAAATTGGCCCCTTTTAAGCAGTAGCATTTAATCATATTTGTTTTAGACGTCAGGAAAAAGCATCACACAAAGTGATTGCCTGATAAGTCTAAAGGCCTCAATTCAAGATCATGCCAATAGTATCATTTTACAGTATCAACACATTTCAACTATGGAGCACATCCCTGTCTTCCAACCCCAAGGGGATTTTTCAGAAGACTTTCCATCTGTACTACCCCCCAGCCCTTTCTTCCATCACCTTCCATGGCTGACGGTGACACAAATCAAACCCCTTCAACCAAAACAACGTCCACTCCCTGCAGGTCTGAGATGAGCATGTGGAGGCCAGAGAGGCGGGGCGGCTTGCTCAGGAACTCACTACTGGTAGCAGTGAGCCCAGAGCCCAGGCCTCCAGCTTGAAGTGCATACAAGCACAGGCAGCGTTACCGTCAGAGCAAAACCCCTGCCCAAGGGCTGCGGGTGGCTGAACGCAAGGACACTGGCCTGGGTGATGCTAAGGCACCGTCCAGCCCTGAAACAATGTGATCCACGCTGTGACTCAGTTCCTTGCAACAAATGTCTCTCATGCAAACATTTCTAAATCAGGTCGCTGGTGTCTTTTTGCTCTTTTTTTAAAGAAATGTTCACACCCAGAAGCCTGCCAGCCCAGTGACCTAGACAGCCGCTACGAACACCACCGCCCCACAGGTCTGGAGTTGGGCTCCCTGGGCTCTGGTCCCACCACTCGATGCTCAATACTCTGAGATCTCAAAAAAACTGAACTTCCCCACGTTACAGCTTCTTCAGCTACAGTCCCCAGGGTCACTGCGAGGACAAAATAACGTCTTAAGGACAGAGCAGCACAGACATGCTCAATACCCAGTAGCTGTGAACCTGCTCCGGCACGGCCCTGTGCTCAGGCTTTGGGGTGGACGAGGACAGCCAGCTCCTTGCCGGGTACGTCCTGCCACCTCACCACCTCCTCTTTCTACGTCACCCACTCCGTGTCACCTTGTCCCCATCACCATCTCCAAATTCTGCATTTTTCCTCATTAATTCTTCTATCGTCTCTCTGCCCTCCTCCTTTTCCTCTCTCTTTCACAATGCAACGTGACAAACCTTCATTGTAGTTTTTTTTCCTTTTCCCCCTAAAAGTGTGCTCTGAGGAGCTCCAGGAGTTTTGGGAAGGTGCCCGTGACACCCACCTCCGTGGCTTCTCTCTCTCCAGTTCTTTTTATTTTTACTTATTGGATCTTCTGGGCAAGATTTTGTTTAAAGAGTTTCCTGACTAAAAAAA